AAAAAAAAAAAAAAAAAAAAAAGTAACCAAAGGCCTAAAGATTAATTTTTTCTTTCTGAAAAAGCTTTCTGATTTAAGATTGATTCCAATAGATAATAAATATAAGTTACAAAAAAAACAAACAAACAAAAAAACAACTTCAGATCAGCCTGGAACCTTGAAGAACATGAGTTTCCTGTTTTCCCTGGTGGGGTGGAGGTGGGGGACAAGAGAGAAGAGGGAACTCAGTCCCTGCACATGGAAAGAGGGTCTTGCTGAATATTCACTGGCATTTCCAGGCTTCTTCCCACCCAACTTTTTGAAACGTGCCCACCTAATTCAGAGTAAAAGCAAAACTATAGCCTATCCTTCTTAAAAATACTGTGTTTTGCACACAAACATTCATTGCTTTAAGAACATTTAAAAAAATGACAGCCTGAAGTCCTTAAAATGTGTATATGGGCATGATGCAATACATGTATATATACACACAGGTACGCATATGCACAAGCAATGTATATATACACATACAAGCATGTAGTGTTCTGTGAATCCGATTGAACTTGACATCCAACAGTGTACAACTACTGTACGTCCAGTATGAAATGTCCTGCTTAATGGATGTCAAAGGAGTCAAAACCCAAACTTCTCAGGTCTCCAAAGCCTGAACACGATCCACCCTACTCCACCTTGAATCCCAACCCCTGACTCACTGATGGTGAATGATACCAACCACAGACAGACTGTTTAAAGGCTCACACAAATGTCTTTGGTGTATGTGTCTATTTTTTAAGGTACAAAATAATAATAATAATTATAATTATAATAATAAAAATAGCTATTTTGTGTGCTGTAGCAGTTCTTTTATAGCTCACATTAAGTGCAGCTCTTAACCCCCCCCACCCCCACCCACAGAAAATACTTGTTAAATAAGGGATTAGACAGGTCAAACACCATTGTAGTGCAAATAGTAAACGATAAAAAAAAAACAACATTTACAAAATATAGAAATGTTTGGATCCAACAGATGGACAAACATATTCCTTTCAAGTATCTCTCCTTGAAGAAAATAAAAATTAATCAGGTTACTTCCAATACAAAAAAGTCTCTCTTTTTGTTCTCTCTCAGGTAAACAGTTTCAAACCTATTAGGTTGCATAGTTCTAAGATCATAAGCACCTTAACGAAATGTGACTTGGTATTCTTTGTTCCTTGATTTTTCTCTCTTCCCATTCTTGCTCTCAATTTTTTTTTTTTTTTAGGTTGGTTTTTGTTCTGTTTTGCTTTGTTGCAAAACTGGTGCAGAAAAGGAAGTGTACCACCTGCACACTATAGTTCTCTTACCGGTACGTGTGTGTGCACGGGCTGTGTGGAAACGCGTCTGTGTGTGTGTGTGTGTGTGTGTGTGTGTGTGTGTGTCTGTGGTGTGTGTGTCTGTGTGCGTGTGTGCACGGGCTGATATACACAGAGAGAGGGTCACACAGACATACCTTACAACCTGGGTAACCGGATGGGAAAGTGCCTGTAACTGGCTCTTTCAAACTCATGGCTTTCTAGATGCTATTTGGGTTGTGCTAGCCCACATTCCTGCAGACCAGACAAGTTGACTTCGAGGCTCACACTGAAGGGGGACTGAAAAGGAGGGGATGATACTCCCGTGTAAGCAACGGATGTCATCACTTTGATAGATACCGGAAGAAACGAAGGGCACGCCTTTCTCCCTTTCCCTCCCAACTCCCATCTTGTTCACTGCTTCATCTCTGAGCCCTGGCTAAGGAATTTTTCCACATCTTCCTTCATCTGTTTCAGGTTTTGTTTTTAGTTTATTTTTTTTAAATTTCTCTATATATATTTTTTCTCCTCGTTTAACTCCGAAACCTTAAACACTTCTTCATGTTGCCACTGTCTTCTCTGGACAACTCTGGCTCCCGTCCCCCCTGGGCTGGGCGCTCTATGAGCACCCACACTCCTCCACTATCATGTTCTGAATGTCCTTTTTGATGATGTTCTGCCCATCATCATAGTACAGCATGGACATGGGTCTCAGCTTGGTGGGCACACAGCACGACTTGAGGTTGGCGAAGGGGCTGTGGCCCCGCATGCGGTAGTGGTTGATGACGGTCGAGTGAAAGGAGAGCGAGGACCCAGATGTGCCTGCTATGTGGCTCGGGCACTCACCCTCGCAGTAGTTGGCGTGATAGCCGGAGGGAGCGATGATCCAGTCATTCCAGCCAATGTCCTTGAAACTAACAAAGAACTGTTTCTTACAGCAGATGTTGACCTTGCCGTCACACTCCAAGCCCCGCCTCCGCCGCCGATGAGGGTGGTCTTCAGACTGGCGGGCCTGCAGCATGAGGAAAGGTCTGTGGGACTGCTCCTTGTCCTCGTCTGCCCCTGCCCCTCCGTCTCCTCCGTCCTTCTTCTTCCCTTCGCCCTCCTCCTCCTTCTTCTTCTTCTTGCCCAGGAGCACCAGGCTGGCGCCCGTCTCGTGGCACTGCTCACAGGCAATCCGAACGTCCAGGGAGCTCTTGCCCTGGTCCAGCAACCGCTGGATGCTGCTGGAGACGGGGAAGATGTGCCACGTGCTCTTCCGGGCATCCACCACCTTTTCCGATATCAACACCTCGTTTCTCTCCTCCATCAAGCCCATTTCCTCTGCCTCCTCCCCTGCGTCCACGCCGCCCTGGGGTTGTTTCTGCAAGAGCTGGATGGTGACTTTGGTCCTGGTCCTGTTGGCCTTGGGGACTTTGAGGAAGAGCCAGACTTCTGCGCGTTCCACCACCGACAGGTCACTGCCTTCTTTGGAAATCTCAAAGTGCAGTGTTTTCCTGGCTGTGCCTGCAGATGAAACACAGCACAAGAGAGAGCAGGGACACTCGTTAGTTGCGATGTTGGTCACCAGTCACTAATTTCAGGCAGGTGTGGGGCCTCTGCCACAGGCCATCTCCAACAGGGGTCAGAGGATTGTGGCCCCCTGACTGTAAGAACACTTTTGACATTTTTAAATGGTTGAAGAAAAATAGGATTTTGGTGACATGGGAAAATCATGTGAAATGGACGCTTCAGCGCCTGCGATAAGGTTTAACGGGACCCCGGCTACACTCATTTCTTCCCAGGCTGTCTGTGGCTGCTTTCGCACTAGGTCCCCGCCAGTCACAAGACAGACTGGCCCACAAAGCTTCAAATCTTTGCTCTCTGGCCCTTTCCAGAGAAAGTTTGCCAACTCTTGCCCTAGAAAGAAGAGAGCCCAGATCTCAGTCAGTGTCCAGAAGCCCGGGAGGTCTGTGTCTGTTCCCTAGCTGCTTAATCTCAGTTTCCTCTTCTATAAAATGGGAATGTCATAAAGACATTTGACCCCTTATGCCTCAGGTTTGGAAGGATCAAATGGGATCACACAGATGAAAGCACCCCACGAGCTCTAGCAAGTCGTGGAAGCGGTGCTGTTCCCACATAAACCCGCAAACACCCCCCCACCCCGACGGAAGTGCCCACAGAGCTAGACTCCTCCTCCCTCACCACAACCTGCTTCACTTGTCCATCATTTCTTTTCTGGGTCACCACGACAGTCTTTGCTTGCATCTGGCCTTTCAGCATAAAGCCAGGCCCCTCTCCCATCATTTCACCATTCAGCAGGTATAAAACAGGAGCCACCCGGGACTCTGGGCTCTGCCTCAACTCCGGCTCTCTCCCAGCGCCCCGTCCTCTGTGGCACAGCCACACAGCGTTTGAGGTCAGAAGCATCCCATGCGCTCTCTCACCTCCAGGCAGTGTGCCCCTCGTCTAGAATCCTCCAGCTCCCAACACGTCACCCTCAGTGGCTGCCCTTGATGAGGTTTTGGTTTGCAGATGAGACCACACCACTTCCCCGACCCTCCTGCCAGTCTAATTTAGGATGCCCCGGGTCTGAGATCCTATCCATCTTGTTCACGGTCATGGTCCAGCATTTACCAGGAAGTAGGCAATCGCCTGACTCCCTATTAACAAATGGAGGCATCTTCAGCCTTGAGTTATATTAGATTAGGAGATCCCCCCCCCCTACAGCCGTGTGCCCCATTTTTGCCTCGTTCCCTTCTGAATGCAGCTTAATGAGCCCCAATTACAGCGACTGCTACTAACAGAGGGGCAACCCCCACAATGGCGAGGCAGTTGGATTCAGAGACCATTCAGTTCTTGCCTAGTTCACACTACTCCCTTCTCCTTCCATAAGCACCTGTATGTCTGTACATGTAACAACATTTACTGCAAGGAGCAGGTGTCCAGACTGGAATTCTCGGGTTGATGAAACACCTTCCCTCAGTTCCACTTTTACCCCTTGGTGGTATATGAAACGTGCCCTCTTTTCATGGCCGCCTCCTGCGTGTGCCTGCTTACAACAGTCCCATGCACACGCATCTCGCACACAAATCTGAGAACAATGTCAGGAGAAGTTCATCTTAGAACTCGCAACTCCCTAGGAGGGTCTCCCTGCCTGGATTTCTATAGCTAACGGAAATCCAGCCATACTTATCACTCTCAGCCCTGAGATGTTTACGGTACTATAAATTTTCGGCACTCGTTCAAGTTCTCTGCAGCAGAAGGCAGGCTTTTCTGTGCATTGCGCACTGTAGATTCTGTTCTTAATTTAACACACTCTGCACGCTGCGATTCTGATAGTGGTAAATTCACTGAGGCCAGGGCCAGGAAAGGCTACATATGTGTACAAAAGATTCTCCGGCATCTTGGTATAAAGTTGTAGGACCCTGGCCACATTGGTGGTGGTGGCGCGGGGTGGGGGGCGTCCCTTTGCCTCCAGCCCTGGGTCCCTGGCAGGAGTTGAAATGAATAATAAAGCTAGGTTTATGATTAGATCACTAGAGCGGAGAGCAGTTAGAAGAAGGGGGGGGGGGACTGTCTTTTTTTTAGGGGGCATGATATCTTTTCAAAACGTGAATGCAGTACGCCCCTTTGCTACAAACGGTGGGTTTCTCTGTTGCTGTGTTTTGTTTTGTTTTGTTTTGTTTTGTTTAAGAAAGGAAAAGAGCAGACTCTAGGAAGGAGAGCTTAATGATTTAAATTTAAAAAGACAAGCAGCTTCCGGAAGCCACCCAAGCCTCGGAGAGCCGGCCTGAAGGAGGGTGCAGGCTCCCTCCGGCGTGGGCACCTCCACCCTGCCCCACAGAGAACAGTCACAAGCTACCTGCTGTTCTCCCTTCTGCCTTCTGCCTCGACGTAGGCCAGCGTCTGAAACCTTAAACTGTGCAGGGTGCCACCCTAAAGACCGAGAGATAGTAGCTGCTAAATTAGAGAAGCCAGAGGGCACAAGGTTGTGTTTTGTTTTTCTAGGAAAGAGTGTGAAACTGGAGAATCTGACTCGTCCTCAGAATGGGAAAAGCTCTCTGGGTTTCAGGTAACTCGTTCCCACAGGCTCCGCTGGGCTTTCACCTGGGCTTGACAGGAGGGGCCGGGGTGAAGGCAGCCAGTGATCGGTTATAGAGAGGGTCCAGATGGCAGTGCGGACCAGCACACATTGGACTTCCCATGAATAGAGTCCAGAGAAGTCCACGGATATGCTGGGGGTGGGGGTGGGGGCCAGGGTGGGCTCACTGGCCCACTGGATTGAAGCCGCGACAGCCTGTGCAAACTGCCTTCCTAGGGCCAGGGAGGCTGAGGTCGCTGGCTTCCAGGAACAGCCTAGAGGAGAGCCCCTCAGTTCACAGGAGCAGGTTTCTAACGCAGGATATAGCCCCTCCCCTTCTTCACAGGCAGCTGTACTTGGAAGCAAATGATTTAGTGTTCCTGAGAGAGGATCATACAAAGAGAGTACTCATTAGAGGGGGCTCAATCTGTCAGGTGCTGTTATATTAGGATCAGAGAGGCATCATAAAATGACTTTCAACCTGGTCCTGGCTGATAATTAACTGCATGGCATCGCCTGCGTACTGTGGAGAGGCACAGCACTGATTTATGCATTGGTTTAATTATCTGAGCTGAAAGATTCTGTTCCCTGTATTTGCTTCCATTGCCTGCATGCTGTATCTCTCCCCCATATTTCTGACATTTGGATTTTCCCCCTACTAATTGACATGCCTGTCGCCTCCTTCTCCTGGTGTCCATTTCTGGAACTGCTATTTGTATATTGCATGATATTTTATCAGGGAAAAAAAATAAAACAGATCCAATTTCATGAAAATGCTGTTGCCATAATGCTCAGGAGAACAGGGGGAAGAGAGAGATGCAAGTCTTCCTAATGTCTACCTTATATGCAGGTACAATTTAAAAGTTCTATTGTATTTGACTTATTAAGCAGTGCAATATTTTTTTTCTTTTACATTTAGCTTTCATTGCAGAAGGGGGTGGAGAGAATGAGACAGCTAGAAGCTGAGATGATTAATATTTATCAGGGCTGCAGGTTTCAGAAAGATATTACAACCCTCAGATTTCTTAGGTATGGAAAATATAACTAGTCACTTGATTATATTCCCTTTTATCTGTATTCTACCTAAGGGAGATTGTTATACCGCAGTGATGCTTTTAGGATGCTCCAATCTTCAAATCTCTATGCATAACAGTTTGAAAAAATGGAAGGAGGTTGCCTGAGGCTGAGGTGTTTAGGATCAATTACTAATCAGTTTCAGGTTTGACTTAAATATCTCCTGCATCAAATCCTGAAATGGAAGCCTTCCCACAATGCTTTGGGAGCAGGTACAGCATTAGCTTATACAGGTGCGCTCTGGGTTCCTGCATTATTACCTATCTAACTAGATATAGCTGGTGGCTTTGCTAACCTTTCATTACCTACTCTCTGATAATATTCTTTTCATCCTCTGTGCTATTTTTTCCCTCCCGAGGCTCGTGAGCAAGGCTTGTATCACAGCCTGCTCTGCCTGAGTAATTCACTAAGAAAGTCCCACGCAAACCCATGTGGGTGATAATATTTCATCACTTAAACCTCTATGAGCTCGGGGGACACATACCAAAGGGAGAGAGAAAGGTGCATAAAAATGAGTAGGAGGCTGAAAAATTGCACTTTACAGGGAAGACCTTTGAAATGTTGCCGGGGAAGGAGGGATTGGACTGAGGAAAGACCGGAAGCTAGAAGTCAGAACACCTGAAAGCACCTTTTCCTTTGCTTTCAGGATTTTTCAGATGTTTTTAATAACTCAATCATGAAAGCAGGCCTGCCAAGGGTTAAGCAGCCAAGCCCCTTGTTGTTCTCTTCCCCCACACCGGGACTCAAAATTCTGCTCCCCCTCAAGCCCCACACCTCAGATCTGTGGGCGGATGAACATTTCTCATGAAATAAGCAATACAAGCAACACACACACACACACACACACACACACACACACACACACACACATGCACACTTCGCGTTTCGTTTGTATTCTGCTTTGTTCGCCTCACCAGGGTCCTGCCCCAAGTATGCTGCCCTTGTACCTATGGGTAATAATTATGTCTCTAATGTGAATGTGGAAAATCTTGTTTATAGATTTAAACTCGCCACGGGAGGCAGGGCGGGGGGAGGGGGGCTCCTTGTAAAATGTTGCTATTACTTTAATTTCCCATTCTTCATCCAGGTTTCACTGTGCCTAGATATGGTATAGTCCCCGGTACCAGTATACAGAACTACCGGTTACAGCATGCGTGTTCTCTAAAGCACTAACTTCGCATTTGGGCTGTTTTCAGGGGTCTCTGCAGATGGCAGAAAGTGGGGTCTTTAAGGTTATGCCTCCTTTAACCTGCCGCAGAGGTCTTTTTGGTCATAAATTATCTGGATTGGATTTTTTTTTTAGCCTTAATATTTTTATCTTAGGATGTGCTATTGAATTGCAAATGCTCGGCCACATTCCTGTGTCTCCCATTCAAATAGGGATGAAATAGAGAGAGAAAGGGGCTTAGGATCCTAGAAGAAGTAGAAAAAAAATTCTTAAGATTCAACCCACAGAAATTTCAGAGACCTCTTCCAAAGTTCCTGCGAACTTTTACACTCTGGGTTTTGGATCTAGGGACCAGTCGAGTATGAGGAATTCTGATCTACAGCTCATGCTCGAGTATAGTTTAGCAGAAGAGGGGCCAAGACAAATAATATGTTCTCACAAAAAGTGCCTGGGAAGGTATTACTCCCAGTTCTCCAAATACGAAAGCCGACTTTCTGCCCTCTGACAGCTCACCGCCCCCACTCAGATCCACCTACGTCACAGGCCCAAAACCACTAGGCATCTTGCTTCTGGTCTTTCTGCCACCATCTCGCTGCACACTCTAACTTCGGAAACAAACGCATCCCCCAAAGCCATACCCAATTCTTCACAAGGCAGTCACCAAACAGCCCTTTCCTCCCTGTTGGAAGTCACTTGTCATTTGTCCCTGGTGAAAAGCGCTGATAAGACAGGGAAACCAGGCAATGAAACGAGGGGAGCCGGAGGCATTTTTGTAAAAGCCCAGGCAGCCAGCCGTCTTAGGGAGAGATGTGTGAGCAGATCAGTATTGCTGATGATTCATGGTCACATTTCTCCACGCTCTGCTTCTGAAATGTATCATTCCTCTGCCTTCCATAGAGCTCGGGAATGTTCACATGCATCACTAGAATTCTCATTTCTTTTCTTCTGTCTCATTTACTGTATCACAGGGAGTCATGTTTCTCCCATCCCATAAAATCCTAATTTTTTTCTGGAGGACGAGAGGAAGCAGGGGGCAACTGACAAGCACCAAGATTTGGGTGCTGCAGAATGGGGCTTCCAGGAGGTGAAATTGCGTTTCCCTAGATTAAATGGGAAGGAGCAAAAGTCTTTGGAATGCGCCCTCTTGTGGCCAATCGTTGCCCATTATTGGGAGAAGAAAGCGTGTAACCCTAACTAAAGGCACCCTTCAGTGACGGGTAATTCACAGGAAAGTTCATTAGACTGGCATGGAATGGTGGGAGTCAAGTCCACCTTGAGATGGCTTTCTTGGGCTGGG